ACAGCTAGAGCTAGCATACCAGTTATTTTTAGAGAAGATGGGACTTTAGGGATTTTAAATTTAAATCCCTCATCTTAGAGTGGGGTAAATCAATCCCAGAAAGGTTAAATAACTTGCATGTCCTTAGTGGAGAGATGTATTAGAGAAAATTCTTCTGAATCTTCTGATTACATTTTCATCTAAAATATACCTCTGTAGACTTCCTTGGAATTAAATTATATGGGCATATACAGACAAGTCAAAGAATTAATTTATCATCTACCCATAAAATAATAGTGAATATAATATTAGATGTTAAAAATTAATGCCAAGATAAAAAAAAACTTAAAAAATATAACCAGCAAATATAGATTTTGCCTCAAAAATGTATAAATTGTTGTTAAAACAATGACATGATAAACAGTCAAGTTAAACACAGATAAGGTTTATTATCTGTTGACGAGGATGTGTATAATAGTCTCAACTGGGCTGGACTGAGGTGTAAATTATGCTGGGTCAAGTCTCTTCACAATCTAAATGATGTATAGCGATTTAATGTATGAATAATAATAATAATAAATTTATATACAGGGCTTTCCATTTGCTTATTGTATGAATTACTTACTTTCTCTACCTTGTGTATATTATCTGCTTTATCGGGTGATCTTCCTTAATACCACCTTAATACCTCACAAAAACAGACTGTCAGGATAACTAGCTTTAGCTATGACACAGGAGAGAGGACTCCCACAGTAGAGTCTCCCAGTCAACTATGTGGTCAACCACTTGAATTCTGGCTACTAAATTCAACACCTTCCTTTTAAATGTCACTTAAAAGAAGAGTTTGGGCTCACCAAGTAAAAGCTGGACCCACATAATCTGCCTTCAATTTGAAATCAGTAATAAAAAATATCGTGAGGATACACAGGCATTCTTTGGTGAAAGAGTGAAGAAGGATGCTCACCATAACCTCTAGGTTGGTGGAACAACCTCAGTTCAGCAGAAAAAATCAGCAGGGCAATGTCACAACTTCACTCGGTACGGCTCTCTTGTCAGGTTATGATAGTATATCCTTGAGCTAGCACTTTTCAGTATCATGGGCTTTCTTAATGTAGGTGAAAGAAATATGTTCCTTCTCAACAAAGGTGGGAAAGAGGTCTCCAGAGACCTAATTTAGACCTTCATTTGGCTGATTCATCCATTCGTACAGGCCGTTAGAGCAGGCCAATATAGACAGCTATTATCCACTAAGCCTGAAAGCATGGAAGAGACCAGTGGAAGTCAGCCATCCTTGGGTGATGTGAGGAACTAGAATAGGTCCCAGCTTTCCAAAGAGAAAAAGCATGCTAAAGTTAACCATACCATTAATTTAACATCTTCTCTATTCAAAGCAATTCCGAAGTGTCAGAACTCGACAGAATTGAAGGTTAAACCTCCTTCTGATCAGAAAAGTCCTCATTCTTCTCACTAGCACTCAACGTTAATTTTGTGTTTTCAACAATCCTAAACCCAGATAACTAGCTTTTCTTCTTTTGACATCCATTTAGAAAATTTTGGATGTGCCTGACTCGTCTCACATTTTCATTCACTTTAGTGCAAAATTACGAAGAACTTTTCAATTTCAGCATCTTCTATGCATCGTTATTATGTGTTTTTATGCATCGTTATTACATATTATGTTATTACATACTTTTCCATCGCCAATTCAAAGATAAATAGAATACACTAGACCATAGTGAAGTATTTGCAAGATGAGCTGTTAACTCCTTATTGCATTCACTTCAGTAGAGTGAATGAATGACTTCACACAGCAGGGCGAGTTCCTACAAGTTAAATGTCAGTGGTGCTCATTACTAAGTGAGAACACAATTAGAAACACTTGCTACTAATAGTGTGAACATATTCTTCTGTCACAGGATGTCCTTTTAACACATTTGAATTTCTCAGAGGGAATAAAAACCTCTTCCAATGTTTTAAATGAGATCTGATGTGCTGGGTAACCTTCAGCACATACATGGACTTCCTTTTGTTCAGAATATGCTTTGTTTTCAGCAAACAATCATGTGCTAATGTTTGCATAATATACTAAAGGCTGAACAGATGTTAAAAACCAAAAAGGGGACTTTAAGGAAAATGAAAGTCGAGGTTCAGAAACTTTCTGCTCTCTCAATTTAGACAGAATCTCGAAATTAGCATCATTGTAGTGATGAAAGACCAAGAGTTGTTATTCTTTGACTGACTTGAGACTGTAGATGTAAGAGTACATCCTCCACTCAAGTTGTAGAGTTAGTTCTGGAATTATATTATCATTAAATTATTCATTATCATAAAAAGACAAAAAAAAGTATGTCATGAATTTCCCAATGACCTAATAGTATCAGCTACAGAGTGTAGCTGCAGGAATACTTAAGTGTTTAATTATACTCAAAATACTAATGCCCAGTCCATTTTATTTGGCAACTGTACAGATTAGTTTAAGAAAGTTGGTACCCAAAGATATTTCATGATGGCTGAGATCAAATGAATATATGTATATTTATTTCCTTGAAGCATTGCTAAACCTCTAAAATATTAAACATAGATTTATACATAATGAGTGATATAGGAAAGCAAATATTAAACATAAATAGTTTAAATCAATAATGAATTTTTCTGGAAAGACTAAATAGTGACTATTTGGGGCAGGAGAAGAGTGGGAGGAAAGGGCAGCTGAATGCTTTTTTGTCTAATTGTTTATAAACTGTTGTTAAGAGACAAACAAAACTCTCTCTGTGCCCGGATTATGTAATTTATTGGGAGTGTTCAGTCTCCTCTGTTCAGCAATGCTGATAACGACACTAATAGTTTAATTACAACTTGCTGCTCAAGGAGATAAACAAGGCTGTTTGCTTTTTAAAGCAGGGGTTACAATTACTTTTAAACGTGGTGGAAAGGCACATCTGTGAGTAGATCTTACTTGACAGGAAAGCAACCAGAAACCAGCTGGAAAATAAAGCCCCAGGAGTGAGCAGCCAGGAGCAAAATTAAAGCAAAACCCGCCCAGTTTGAGCAGTGGAGCAGTAGGCGTGAGGCGTAGTAAACAGGCTGCAAATGTAGGAGGGCACAGAGACAAAAGTTGTCTGTGGCCAGATCTTCCGCATCCTCCCTGGGATTCCATCCCAGTGAGAACTGCGCATCCAGCTCTCAGCTGTCCAGCTTCAAGTCAAGTCCCTGCTTCACTGTCCTTCACTTCAGCACCACGGGGGAGGACAGCTCCTCTGACTGCAGCACAGAGGCAGCGTGACCGCCCTGGGGCCTTGACCAAGGTATTTTCAGGAACCTAGAGGAGGGTCTGGATGTTTGTCTTGCTTGTTTATTTCCAGAGACAAGTTCTGCTTGAGCCCATCTTAACTGGTCTCCAGAGCATTTTAATCAGAAAAAAGAGATTGAAAGTCATTGGGTTTCATCTAGTGACTAAGTGGCTCAACAACACTGAGTAGAAGCTGCCACTTGAAACTTTTTAGTGCTTTATTTGACTGCTTCATTGTAAAGTACAAGTGGAAGGCAAAGGACCTTTCCTAATTGTTGCTTTAACCCTCTTCCTCCCGTACTAAGCAAAAGACACTAACAGAATCCATTTGAGTTTGTCGCAAAGGGTTCGCAGAACGACTCCTGGTATCAGTGGGCCCTTAAAAAACTCTCTCCTGGTATCAGTGGACCCTTAAAAAACTCACTTCAGTTCTTTCCAAGATCCTGCCCAGCGATTTACTGAATCTAGAACACACAGGAGGGGAGTCACAATTCCAAAGCAAGGGCACGGGCTGCTATAGCAAGCCACATACACCACCAAAGCTTTCCCAACAGCTCTCTGTTCCCTGGTCCCAGTGCCAGGGGCAAACGGTTAAGGAATAGCAGGATATATATGATTTTTCAAAACCAAATCACGAAGACAAGAAAATTATACTCCTAGGAGCTTGGCTATCTGGCACATCCAGTTGCCATTCTTCTAGCCATAAAGAGAGACTTGCTTTGCCAGAGTTCCTTGCTTCTCTTTGCAGAGAGCTCTCTTCTGCCCAAACTGCTCAAGAAGGCATAGCCTCCCCATCTCTGGGTGGTTATCCTTGCACACACACACACACACACACACACACACACACTTCTTTTGATTTTGTTCCATTTTATGGGTTTAGCTTCTTAAAGAAAAAGGTGTTGTCTGCTTTTTAAACTTATTTGGCAATAGTGTCCTTAGGAAAACGCCCTCCCTCTTTTTGCAGTGGAGTTGCTAGACTAAGAAGGAATCCTGGGCCAGGGAGAGACTCGGGCTAGGGTTGCTGCTCAGAAGTGAGTGTGAGAAGGCAGCCCTGGAGTTCCTGGTGAAGTGGGAGTGACTAGCACTAGGAACTCACTCAGGGGGTGAGTTTGACTCACTTGGGAGGTGAGTTCCAGCAGCAGCAGCAGCTGAGCAGCAGACTCTGGGCCTTTCTTAGCAGGGAACTCTGAGGGGACTCCACTGAGGCATGCTAGACTCTCAGTCCCTCAGGCTGCCCTTCCCTCCTTCCCTCCGTCCCCATCTCCTCCACCTCAGGTCCCTTTTCACTTGATTGCATCTGGGCCACTTTGGGCCCGTTCCCGCGGCAACACCGAATCACCCAGTCTGCACCCTATAGACCACGCTATTCTCGCTCCCAGCACAGAGACTTCGCAGCTGCTGGGTGCAAGGCAAAGGTTCGGTCCCCAGCCGTCAGCCCCGCCCCCTCTCCCCGCTCCAACGCTGCGGCGGCGGTTCCAACCCATCAAAATCACCGGAGTCTGAATGTCACCAACAAGTTCCACCCGGTAATTGGCCCCGCCGGCGAGCCTTCCCCGCGGGCTCTTGGCCCCTCCGCCCACGGCCACGCGCCGCACCCCAGCGCCGGGCGGTGCGGTGCCGGGAGCATTGTTATCAATGACAGCACTTGCCACCTGCAGGCTGGGGACCCGCGTGCCACCGGGAGCGGATGCAGGCTCCACGCGCTGCCCCCTCCCCCCGACACACACCCTGCTCACACCCGCCGGTTGAAAGAGATCCTGGCCTCGGCGAGGTACGGTGTGTCGCTCTTGGAGCGGACTCTTCGGATGGGCCGCCGGTCTATATCGTCCTCCGAGGTTGCCGCCATTAATGTGGGAGGCAGGAGCAGGGTCGCCCGGCGAGCTGCGATGGAGAAGGACAGGGAGAGAGGGAGCGAGAGAGAGGCGGCGGAAAAGGGGCGGCGGGGAGAGGAAGAGGCGCACACGGGGAGGGGGAGGGGGAGGGGTGGGGAGGAAGGGAAAGGGGACAGGAGGGAGGGGAAGAGAGGGAAGAGGAAAAAAAGGAGAGAGAAAGAAAGAGAGCAAAGGAGAGAAAAGGGTGAAGGGAGAGAGAGAAAATCCGTTAAGGATTTGCGGACTGGAGTAGAGACCGGGTTAGCCCTGGCTTGCACCCAGGAATCTCCCTGGAACCCCTCTGCCCGTCACAGGACTAAGGGGTCAGTGCTCTGGACTGACACCCCGCTTCCTTCCTGCAGCCCCAGTTTTCAGCCCTTGGCACAGATAGGCTAATGCGAAAGGGAGGACTCCGAAGCAAAGATGCCCAGTCAGCACCGTGCCCTCTCCCGCCAAATGCACTTACTCTGCTCTGCAAGTGCACGCTATGGTCTCCTTCACCCACAGGCTGCTCCAGGCTGAGGCCGCCCAGCTCTGGCGCTCCCTGTCTGGCATTGTCACCCTGGGCTGCAATCCCAGGTCCAGCAGGTCCTGGGGGAGGGCCCTGTGCCCAGGGTAGCCCTCTGCTTCCTTGTTAACCCAAGAGCTTAAATACAGATAGGACCACCTCTGAAATCCTAAGAAACTCCCTCACCTGGCCTTTAACTCAGGAGGGGGTAGAGGAAGAGTGTGCACTTGTTCAGGTGCAGTTTGCAAAGGTTTCTAGAGTGACTACTTTTGCATGTAGACCAGGCGTATACACACAGAATGAAGTGACCCTTTTATGCACCCCCTAACTTCTAGGATGTGTTGATCTGCAAAAGCCAGTCAGTTCAAAACCTCCAACGTTCTCTCGATTTGCTCACTTAGAGCAGATGGTAGTGTTTGGACAGTTGTTTCTTCAACCCTGTTTCACTGTTCCTGAAGGGGAGGGGAAACTCAGGAGGATGCTATATTCCTTTGAACTCCTGAACTGCCACCAGCCACTTCCCTGGAACACAGCCCAAGAACCTACAAAGGTTTGCAGGAACGAATCAGAAAGCTTGATGCTCCTTCTGAACCTATTGATGGGCTAAACTCTTTCATGTTTGTCTCTCTGCAGCTGTAAGTCCCTTGGTGTTTTTGTGGCCTGATGCTACCACTCTTTTCTCTAACAAGTGCCCACCTGGAGCAAGGGACTCACCTTAGGTTGGTGCTCTCCCTGCATAAAAGAAAGCTCAGCGTGGAGCCATAGCCTACCTCTCAGTGGAGAAAGTTCTGGTCTGCTCTGCAAGGCTTCCCTCCGCACTCAGCTGTCAGCTCTAAACCGCATTTCAAATTCTCTCTCTTTCCCTAGAATCTCTGGCTGGTCTACACTGGTGCGTAGTCACTCTTCTGTCTTCATGGGTGCATAGTCACTCTTCTTAGGAAGAATTTATCTGCAATAGCGACTCTGGGCCTTACTGTTCCCTCCTTCTCTACCATACTATTTCCTTCTCCTTCTGTTTAACCTTTCCCTAGAACTTCTGGCTGTTCAGGCTCCATGTTTTCAATCCCAGTCCTCTCCCTTTATCATTGCTGTTATGGATTCTATTCTAGATTCTACTGTCACCACTCAAACCAAAGTTATTGAAAAAGGTATCAACATTCTTCCAACAGTCAAATTCATTGCTTTCTTGGCTTCTCTGAAATGGTTAGTAAGCTGTCCTTGAAATAATCCCATTTTGGGGCCAGCAGATGGCATAATGGTTATGTCCTTGGACTGTGGTTTGAGTCTCTAACACAGCAGCTTAAAACTCATGTTGGGCGTATGTGCTTGCATGCCCAAATTCTGGAGAGGAAATTGGGGGAGAAGGGATTGTGGCATGGCCATCCTTCCTGAAGGGTGATTTCTTGCTTTCTGCCTCTCTGCCTCTCTTTCTCTCTCCAGTGAGTGCACATGCCCTATAGCAAAAATTTCTCTCTTAAAAAAAAAAAAGAAAAAGAAAAAGAAAAAATAAAGAAAGAATCCCATCTTTTGGCCTTCCTGTACTATGGTCACTTGATTGCTAATTGTTGGCTAATTCTCTGCATGAGGATTTGAAATAGTTGATCCACCCATCCAGGACCCACCACAATCTGACTTCAACCTGTGTTCACTTCCTCATTTCCCATCATTGAACCCCACTCTGCTTGAGACCCCAAGAGTCTGTCTTATTTCTGCATCTGCACTTTTGCTTATGTGGCACAGCATGGATTTCTTCCCTGCAAACAGTCCATGTTCTCAGCAACCTGAAGTAGCTAGTCCACTAGCTTGTGGCATGAGCCCAGTGTGTAGGAAATGCTCTAGAGGTATTTTTATGTTTATTTTTTTAAGAATTATTTTATTTAATTTTATGCATGGTCATTATTTTATATTTTTATGACCAGAGAGAGACACACAGAGAGAAAGAAAGTGAGAAAGCAAGCTACCAGGTCTGGGACTCAAAACGTAGTCAGTCATATGGGAATCCAACTGTTTCAACCACCACGCCACCTGCTGGCTCCATCAAGAAGCATTTTTAAATAAATAAAAGAAGTAGAAGAGAGACATGGAGAAAAAGTAGCTGAGTTGGTATATCCATGTCTGTCTGATTTCAAATCCTATGCTCTTAACTAGGATATTGATTTGCTGAGCATATGTATAGGGTTGATTAGTCATGTTTTCAATTCCTTTTTCTATCATGTTTCTCATTATGATGTCCCATTTATTTCTGTTAAACGTAGTTTAAAAATGAATACCTACTAAAGGCACCAAAGGCATCTTTGTCTTATTCAATAAATTATGAAAGTTAATTCTTTGAGATGACTAATCAGACTGTAAACCCATGTTGTGACTACAACATTTAGATTTAGAGTCTTAAGAAAGTGCAAAAAGTAAGAGCCTCAAACAACTATACCTATTGTTTACTCATACCTCCTTTAAATCAGGGTGTCTTATCTGTTCAAAATGTTTGGGATTACCTGCCTCTTTGTATTTTCATTCTTCAGTGGAAAACAATAAAGTCATTTGAAGGGATACCTAGTCTTAGCTTTCCCAGTGTTTCACTGAGTTTTACCTATTAATTTTCTTGTTTTAGAGGAGTAACTCTTTGCATTTCTGTTTCTTATTTATTTAACATTTAGAGGATTAGGAACTTAATACTGCTATCACTTTAGGTTCACAGTTTTCCAGAGAGGCTTAAATGAACTTCCTCATTATTTTATTATAGACTATCTCATTATTGAAATCATTGTACAAGGAGATACTTTTGACTAAAATGGGCATGAAATACTGTATCCATCTTTGTGTTCTTGAATTCTTTATTACATTTTCATTTTTTATTATCATCTATTTCTTGGCTTCTCTAATTTACTTCATTCTTGTCTTTTATTGAATGTTTCCTATTCTCTTGTCACTTTGCCTCGCCTTTTATTTTTACATTGTTTTCAGTTCTTTCTGTTCAGGTACCCCCACCCCCACCCCCTTATCCTGCTATGAAGAACTCACTTCTGTGGGCTGGTTTCAATATTTCCCCATTCTGGGACCAGCAGTTAGTGTAATGGCTGTGTCGCTGGACTCCCACGTAGTTGACCGCGGTTCGCATCCTGGACCCAGTGGCTTAAAACTCACGCCGGGCGCGTGTGCATGCGTGCCCAAGATCCCAAGAGGAGAATGGAGGAGAAGGGATTGCGGCATGGCCATCCCCCCGGGGGGTGATTTCTCGCTTTCTGTCTCTCTCTGTCTGGCGGGTGCACGCGCCCTATAGCAAAAAAAACATTCTTTGTCCTCTGGCATGTTTTCAATATTGATGATTTCTATCAAAAATATCTGACTGAGTGACATCAGGGGAAGAACCCTGGGGTGGAAATGAGGAATGAAGGGTGCTACCCCCAGCACTTCTGTTACCTATGTGGGACAGGGTGAATCGCTCTCCCAGGATGGGTCTCAGTCACCTCAACCAAATAATACAAGGGTCAAATAACGTGATCCCAAAAGCCTTGCCTAGCTTCAATATACTATAATTACTTTGTGGCTATTCTTGTATTTCTACTTCTTTCCATAAGTATCTATGGTATATTTTGTCCCTTAATCTAAGAAAATTCATTACTCCTTTGATTTGCAGCTAATATTTAGAAGACCACATGGCATCCATATTTCTCCCTAGCAATTTCCTAGTATTTGAGTCTATTTTATGTAACTGCATTCTTTAGAATCTGTTTCCATCATGTGGCATATGATGGTATGTGTGCATGTGTGGATATGGATGTGTATAAGAAAGACTGAATTCAACTACGACCTCATGACTTCCAAATATAGTCTTTTTCTCCCATGATTGCTTCTTTCTAAATATGATTGCTGACTTGGGAAGAAAGCAATTTTGCTTCTCTTTTTTAAAGCCAGTCTACATTTTAATACTGTGAGTCCTTACATGCATATTATATCAGAGCTGGGACCAGAGAAAGAGAAACAGCATAATAAGGTGCTTAAAAAATAGCATTTTGTGTACACATTACTTCCATGAAAGAAGATGGAGGTGGGAAGGAGAGGTCAAGAGAAAGATATCATATTCCACCCTCATTAGGGAAATTCTTTAGGTGAGTAAAGCATATTCCTTAAAAATATTACTCTAAGTGTGTTTCTGGGACACTCCTGCATCAGAATCACTTGGAATACATATTAAAATGTTGATTTCCTTAGTCCTCAATCTGAACCTACTGAATTAGAAGCTGAGGTGATGATAATCATATTTGTAAGACTCCCAACACGTCCACTCTCATCACCTCTATTCAGTGTTATACTGGATGCCTTGGCCAAAGCAATAGGCAAGTAGAATAAATTTAAAAGGTGTAATGATTGGAAAGCAAGAAGAAAATAGATATTAGGCATAGATTTATGGTTATCTGCTTTCAGAATCCATAGGAGTCCACAGACTATTACAAACAATAAATAAATGTCAGTTTTACTGGATGTAATGTCGATACAAAACATTT